CCCTGCTACCTCTTCCCCCTGGTCTCTGGCTCCAGACCCTCAGGGTTCCACGGGGGGCAGGGGCTGGTGACCCTAGAGCCAGGGTGGGACACCCCCTGTGATCCCCTCTGAGCCCAGGCGCACATCCTGTGCTGGCCTTGGCCCTGTGGCCAAGTCCCCCTGCATCTCCCAGCCTCCTGGAGCAGGGCGTCCCTCCTGGGACCCCGAGCTGTCCTTCATGCCTGGGGTGGGCCTCTTCAGGGGGCGCCCAGCTGCATGTGAGTCCTCAGACCCCAACAGTGTGTCCAGGACTGGCTGGGGCTCGGGCCTGGCCTTGGGGCTCCTCGGAGAACCTGCCCACGGGCGGACGGGCTATGGGTCCCCGAGAGTCCCCCTGGCCTCCCTGGACAGTCCTGCCCAGGCCAGAGCCGCACCCTCACACCTGTCCACCGTGCAAAGCCGCCTCCTTCCCTGACTGGGCCGCCCAAAACCCTCTGCACGGATCAGGCTCTGCAGATGGGCAGCCTCCATTTTGAGGTTGCCATGACAACACGTTGCCAGGTTGGAGGGCCAGCGCTGAACACTGACTTGGGCCAGCTCGAACCGGTCTGAGCCTGCTTCAGCAGGGAGGGGCCTGAGAAATGGCTGGTCCAGGATCCATCCCCAGCAGACCCGGTGCTGAGACTGGGGGGTATCCTGTTGCCGGGGCCCACGAGGCTCATCTGGAGTCTTCCAGACGCTGGGACCCCATCTGCGGAGGCCCTGGCCCTGCCCGAGGGGGCTGGCTTAGGACCATGGGGCGGGATGGGGCTGGAGCACCAGTCCTATCCACCCTGCTGTCCCCAGACCCTAGGAGTTCTGCACCTGTCAGGAAGTTGCAGGCCCAGGGCCTGGGTTCTCCCTCCCTGATCTCTTTCCTTCCAGGGCACCTACCCACCCCCTTCTTGAAGAGAGGGGCCCTTGGTGCCCATGCTGCCCTTCCCACTCCCCGGGGCCGCAGAACCTGGCCCCCCCCCGCTGTGCAGAGAATGATGCTGGGTACTCAGCTCCCCCAGCTCAGCCTCCTGATGGGTACGACCTTTGTCCCCAGAGGGCTCACAGAGGGCTGAGTGTAGGAGGGGCCTTGCTGGGAGGTGGCCCCACGCACTTGCCTCTGGGCCAGATGCTGATGGGCAGGCTCAATGGACAGTGGACAGCACTCAGCGGCCAGGTGGCCGGCCCTCACGGAGACCTGCGGAGCCCTGTGTGGTTCCGCTGCTCCGCTCCCACCCCTCCCCCAGCCCCACAGAAACCTCAGCCGCACATTTGCTCCCGAGCCTGAGGCCCAAGACCACCCTGGCCCGGCGCAGCCTTCACCTGTGCACGTATTGGCTTCCGGTGTCATGGCCCCAGAAGCAAGCATTTCAGGTGAGGGGCCAGACCCCCTCCCACCTGGGGCCCCCTCTTCTGGCAGACCCACCCAGATGGCACAGGCAATGGGACAGATTCCTGCAGTCCCGAGTGTCCTGGCCCAAGTCCCTGGGCCATGCCCCCGCCATTCTCCATGGCTGCCCCCCTCTTCACACCTCTGACTGGTGCCCAGGTGCAGCCCGCTGGCTAGGAGTTCTGCCTGCAATTCCAGGGGCTGCCACCAGAGGGCATAAGGGCATGAGGTCAATCGTCTTTTTTTTCTTTCTTTTTTTTCTTTCTTTCTTTCTTTCTTTCTTTCCTTCTTTCTTTCTTTCTTTCTTCTTTCTTTTTTCCTTTCTTTCTTTTCTGTCTTTCTTGTCTGTCTTGTCTTTCTTTCTTTCCTTTCCTTTTCTTTTCTTTCCATCCCTCCCTCCCTTCTTTTCTCTTTCTTAGTAATCTCTACATCAACGTGGGGCTCGAACCTACACCCCCGAGATCAAGAATTGCACACTCCACTGGCGAGTCGGCCAGGTACCCCAAGCGTCTTTAAACCATGAGGGGTGGTGTGGCTTTACAGAGATGCGCTCTCACCTCCCTGCTCTCCAGCGGCCATCCAGAGCATCACCCCAGCAGAGCCTGGGGGTTTTCTCCTGGCCCTGAGGAGGGAAAGCCGCGTGCCCCTGCCTGCCCAAAGCCCAGAGGGTGTGAACCCCACCTCCCCACCAGCCCTGCCGAGCCTGACCCCTCTGGGTGAGGTGTTTTGTGCCCCAACTCCTGCTGTGACATATTCTTGCTCCACGTTGCCCCCTCCCCCACCCTCTCCCCTTGCTGTGGGGTCATCCCCCCCACCTACGGAGGTGGAAACTGAGTCCCCCGAGGGCCAGCCATGGCCACGGTCCCCACCCCATGTGGACCCAGAGGGCGTGCAGCTGACACTACCCAGTCCTGGCTCCTCACTGAGACCCCCCCTCGCTGAGGGGTGCATGCTGCTGCTATGTCCATTTACAAACAAAAGGGAAACTGAGGTCCAGGGCAGCAGAGGGGTGTGACAGGGCAGGGGTCTGACCTAGGTGGGGAGGAGGACGGGACTGAGCAAGAATGGGCCCATCTCTCCCTCCCCAGGAAGTGTCTGTGCATGGAGGGTCTGGGGATCTTTTCCTGGGGAAACTGAGGCCCAGGGCTGGGCTCAGCACCCACCCAGTTGCTGTGTGGCCCTGGAAGAGCCCTTCCCCTCGCCATAGTTTTCTTATCTGTCAAAGAGGGTGGTGAGGTCTCCCAACAGGCCTCCACCCCAACGGCCACAGGGCTGGGGCTGGTGCCTCTGTGCTGCTGGCCCCCAGCCCATGCTCCCCAAAGGACACTGGATGTGGGGGCCAGCAGGGGCCCCTCCTAACTTCCTGTTTATAGCAGCTGCAGGATCTCATCTCTTCACCCCAAACCATTATGATCACCATGGCAACCAGGCCTGTGTTTGTTCCAACAGGTTGGCAGGACCCGACGAAGGACTGCAGGGCTGAGGGGGCTGCAGGGGCGGGGGGCGTCGGCTCTGAGATCCTGGCTCAGGACCTGCCAGTCCCCAGGGGAGAACATCAGCTGCCCCTCCCCGATTCCTGTCCCGTGCAGAAGGCAGCCCCCACTCATCTCCATCCCAAGCAGTTGATGCGTGTTCCTGAGCACCTCTGTCCCCATGTGCCTAGCTGTGCTGGGCCTGAATGGAAGCAGCGCCTGCAGGCAGAGAGCTTCCAGAAGGAGAATCCACCCTGGTGGGTCCATGTCTCCTCCAGGGCGGCATGGAAATGTGTGGGTCTGCACCGAGGAGCTGAGACAGGTGGTGTCCCCATCAGAGCAGTGTCCGCCCCATCTGGGGGTGATGGGAGAGGTGCCAGGTCCCCCCTGGGCTGGAGAGCCATGGCCCTGCTTTCCCCACACTCCCTCCCCCAACTCTGAGGAATGGGCGGGATGGGCCTGCAAGGCGGGATGTTCACAGCCTAGGGGCCAAGCTGTGGCCCAGTGAGCTGCTGTTCTGGTACCCTGGGCCTCCACCTTTGGCCCGCAGCTCAGCCGACCCCTGGCCTCCCCCCAGCAAACCATTCTTGCCTCT